AATAAAATCAATAAATCATATTATCCCATAACAACATCACACCATACTCACTCCCACTCTCACTCACATATACATTTACATACACTATGCAATTTATATACAGGATATTGCCTTGAAAGTGAAATAATATATCACACATTCCTAAGAATAAGAAATATTAAATTAATCTCGATCAAATAATATAAATATTTAATATATAATATATATATAATTGACTGAAATTCACAATTCTATTTTATCAATTGATAATCTTTTCTCCCCTCCTTCTTTATCAAATTTGTTAAGAAAATAACATTGATAGTATTATTCTCATCATTCTCGTTAATAATCTTAATCAAATTATGATTAATGCTAAATTGATTAAAAAAGAATCCAATATCAAAATTAAATATGTAAAATTTTACATCTTAAATACATTTCAATTATATTTCATACGAAGAGATTTTTATCTTCCGATGAAGATCATTCATCAGACAAATCAAATTCAACTGATAAACTTGGCGCCATATTCATTTAATCGATTCATTACATCGATTAATTGTTCCTCTATAAAATATATGCATTTTAGAAATATTAATATAATTGTTAATATACTGTAAAATACTTCGATTAACATCATCATCACTAAATACAGTATATACAGGGATAAATGCCTCAAAATTGATTAAAATGTCTACGTACAAACATGATGATATTGTGACACAAAATGAAATACAAATTAAATCTAGATGTTACATATTTATGGCCTGATATTATACATGTTTAACTAGAAAATTCCTAAAGTTGCTAAATTTCTTTCATAATTAAGGAATTGTATGCATAAATACTACTTTTTAAAAAAAAATGTAAACGATAAATATAAAAATTTATTTATTTTTAATTTTTTAATTAAAAAAAAAAAACTTCCATCTTACGTACTATAAGCGAACAGAAAATGTCTAAAATATGCCTAGAATGCAATGAAAAATATTACTATAGGTGGTGCAAACTGTGCATCTCAAACCATTTTAAAAATGATTTTAATAAATGGACAAGCGGAAATGATACAATTGATAAACTTATTCAAGATACTCAACTAAATGCTGATTGGCGTAAATTAATCGAATGGATACCTTATAATAGATTTCAAGACATTAAACAAATAGCAAAAGGTGGTTATGGTACTATTTATTATGTTAAGTGGGTTGATGGATGGATTGATGATTGGGATATTAAAAATCAACAATGGAAAAGATATGGTCAACATGAAGTGGCGTTAAAAAAGTTTGATGGTATTGTAGATATAAATGAGGATTTTTTAAATGAGGTAAAAGAAATATTTAAATTTATTTAAAAATATATAATATATTAATTATAATTTAAAAATATGTTATTTAGATGACAATTCTATTGAGAACAAATGGAAACTATTCATCAGCCTTTCTTTATGGAATTACAAAAGATCCAGTAACTCACAAATATATGATGGCTTTAGATTATTATGAAGATGGAAGTCTTAGAAACTATTTAAATAATAATTTTAATAATATCAATTGGGAAAATAAATTAAAACATTTAAAAGAATTAGCTCAAAATTTTTCAAAATTCATAAATTAGATATAGTTCATCGTGATTTTCATCCTGGAAATATTTTAAAAGATATTAATAATTATTTATTTATAACAGATTTTGGATTGAGTAAATTAATTACAGCAAACATAAAAAATCTTCAAATGAATACCATTTCTGGAGTATTACCATATATAGCTCCTGAAGTATTAATTGGGGAGAATATACAAAAGCCGCTGATGTTTATTCATTTGCATTTGTTGCTTATGAAATCATCACTGGAATTCCTCCGTATCATGATGTGCCGCATGATAAAGGTTTGGCTTTTGATATATGTAATGGATTTCGACCAAAAATTCCATTTCACATACCTAAATTAATTACACAAATAATTATGCGATGTTGTGACACCCGAATTACACATCGACCCACTTTTGATGAATTATATGAAGAGTTGAATGAATACTATTGGGATTATGATTTTGACAATAATAACGAAATTACAATCCAGATTAAAGAAGCTGAAGAATTTTCGAAAAATCATACAACAACAACTGATACAACAATTACAACTCCGATGAATTATAAAACACATCCTCAAGCAATTTATACCAGTCGACTTCTCAATTTTTCAAATCTTCCAAAACCTAAAAATGAAGAAAATTTCGAAAAGAAACTTGAAGACTTGACAAAATCTTTTTATCAAATAAAGAATAGTAAATATCAATTATATATTTTATTATATTCCTTTTCTATTCATAATTAATTTTCTTTTTCTTTTTTAATTAGGCGATGAGGATTGATGATGATGACGACAATGACGATGGTGAATTTGGATAAATTTTATTTAAGTTATCAGTTACAGTATATATTTTTTTTTGTATTTTATGTATAAAATATAAAGCATTAGGATTAATTTTTTAATATTATAAAATCTTAACACCTTAGCCATTAAGGTTTATAAACTGTGATTCTGTAATTGTATTTTTATTATTTTATATTATTTTATTGTATTTTATTGTATTTTTTTAGTTATTTAATTCCAATGTGGCTAATGAATTATATGATGCTATAATGGATGCAATTCCTCCGGCTCAAAATTAATCACATCCTAGATTACATCTTGTAGTACTTTAATTTATATTTTCTTTCACATTATTTAATATTATTTTTATTAAGGATGTTTTGATTTATAATTTTTTTTATTATTACATTTTATTATTTTACTTACTTTACTTTTAGATATTATATCTATCTTTTTTTTGAGAATAAATGACGGAATTTGAATACAAAATCCAAAATGGTCTGTTGTAATTTATAACAATTTTTAAATTTGTTTTCGATAATAATGGTGGTAAATTACATAATAATGAAATATATGACTGTGCTCAACGATAGATGAAAATCAATTAAAAACAATCAAATCTCAAAAACATGAATCATCATCCACAATCTTGCTATATTAGTCGAAGTATTCATACTCTTCATTGATTGCATCCGTAATTAGATATTGATATGACGATGAGATTAGAAAAAGCAATGATAACCATCAAATAATGCTATTTGTAAATTTGAAAAAGTATTCAATAACGAACATTTCTTTTATTTTTCATGTCTCAAGAAAAAGAAATAGTGCATTGTACAGCTGGTCATTCTTCCAATAATATTATAATGAGCATTAAAATCGATAGTGGATTTTGTGAGTTTTGTGATAAAGAACATTTAGTCGAGAGTTTGGAACTTGGTCTAGTGAGAACGTCGAAATTTATAAGATCATCCAAAATTCTCAAATAAATGATCCAGAATATTTTATACAATGGAAACCTTATGATAGTTTTCGAGATATCAAACACATAGCGGATGGCGGATATGGATTTGTGTATTCTGCTATATTAAAAAATGACATGAAATGGTAATGGAATTTTAATAAACAGGTTGGAAATATTCTTATGTAGATATTAAATTTGATTCTAGATATGATATTTCTGGATTTCTTAAAGAGGTATGTCTTCTTTTATTTATTTAGATTATAAATTATTATTTCTTACATTTAAATAAATTAGTTCGTCGTGACCCACATAGTAGAAATATTTTGATAAAATATTATAATTATTATGAATATTATACAGACTTATGTTTACGTATTACGTAGGTTAGCTGATAATTTAATATTAAAATCTGATAACAAAAGTAATAATATTTATGGATTAATTCCATATATTCCACCTGAAGTTTTACGAGGAAATGAATTTACAAAAAGGGAGATATTTATATTTTTGGCGGAATTATGTATAAAATGGCAACTGGGAAACAACCATTTTATGATCGAGCACATAATACCCGTTTAATAATTGATATATATTGTAAAGGAGTAAGACCAAAAATTCCTGATATTATGTTGGAATGGATTCCAAAATTGTATTTAGACTTAATGTACACTCCCCTAGCAAAAGTTTTTTGGAATGATAAAATTCGAAAATAATTGCTAAAATTAAAATGCTAATTGTGGCACAATGAGTGATCTAAATTTTACAAACTTTTTTTTATTAGATTCCCCTAAACCAAGGCTATCTTATGATATATTTTGTGATAAAATTAAACATCTATACATAGAGATATTACGCTTCAAATGAAACTGACAAAAAATGATAAATTTATTCTTAGATCGATACCTATACCGAATTCGATGGGTATTAAAGATATATACAAACTATCTTATACAAAATTATAGCTAAAGATAATTTCTACAACTTTAATTATTAACGTTTTTCTCGGTATCTAATAAACATTTTGACTTCACTTAGACGTGAATAAAAACGACCGAAATTTTAAATAAATAAAAAGAATTCGAAAATAATTATATCGATCGTTTTACCTGAAAATCTTGATTATTTATTAACTTAACGATAAATGTGGTATTAAGTCATTTTAAAGCCTGAAATATGAAGCATCTTTTGTAAAAATTTCAGCCTTATATATTGAGTATTGAAAGAACAATACACGATTAAACTTTAGAGTATAATTTTGAAATATCCGATATTTAACCGTTATTATTAAACGCAATTCTCAATTTAAAAATCTGAAATTTTCACAATAAATGCTTCATATTTTAAACATAAACTGTAATTAATACCATTCTCATTGTTATAATAATAGATAAAAAAGTTTTTATTTTTCGGATTTTTATTTTTAATTTTTTAAAAATGATCGACAGGGATTTACTACATTAAAAATTCGAAAATAATTACAAAACTTTTGTTTTTAATAATAAAATAGTAAATGTTAAACTAA